GTTGGCTCCAAGCCATTTTGCCATTTTCTATTACTATAATCTGTCACACAGGCAGCCTCTGATGTGGGAAGTCCTAACAAAAAGTCTCCGTGAAAGGTATTGAGTCAAAAGAGAGGGAATGAGACTTAACAAACAGATGGGTTTATTTTACCTAATGACCAGTCACTGCCCAAGAGGATAATATATTTTCCTCAAATCATATTTCCCCTCCCATCCAGGAAACTAAGTCTAATATTTCCTGGGTCCTAAGACATGAAACTCTTTTCAAAGTGCTCAATTTCTCTGTTTTAGGCATCGTCAATCATCCTTGCTGGCCTGACTGTGGGTTATCTCTTTGTATAAATTGTCTACCTGACACATCCTACATAAATTCTCATGGTCTATGTTTCTGTACCATACTCCAAGTCTCAAGACTAATATAAGAAATGCTATGCTATGTGTCCTTCCTGGGAAAACTGTCTAGCCCAGGCCTGGCCCACACACCTACAACAAACCCCGAGTGGTTTCGTACCCTTTAAAGGGCTTTGGGAGAGGCTGTGGTTGAGTGGACCCCCTCTTTCCTGTGTGTTTATGGTCTCAGGAATACCCTGGTTGGGGTGGGGCTTCTAAACCCATCCTTATACTACCATCAATGATCCTGCTCAGTTAGGGTACCATGTTCTCAAAAACCTGCAAGGGTTACCCAATGCCTATGACAGGGGAGAGGCTCAATGATTGGGGGCTAGAATACTCTCACATTTTCAATTCCAGTGATGTCACTCCAAGGACCCCTTACTTCAACCACATTAAGCCATTTACTGTGATCTGAGCACTTTTGTTATTTCTTCCATCTTCCTAATTAAGTATGACTTGAGTAGATTTACTGGAATTTACCTTCCTATGTTCAACTTCCTCATCTGTAAAATGGAGAAGAAAGAAATACCTACCCACAGAGTTGTAGTGAGGCTTCAGCGAGCTCACAGGCATAGCACTCTGAATGATGCTTGCCACTTGGTAAACCATTTGTCAGAGAGGATACTAGTATTAGTAGAGAATTCTCCCCCTCGTATCTCGTAAGGAGGTCTCTAGAGTAGCTGAGACCTCCTTCACAAACCAGGCTCAGCTATACAGAGGTAATGCCAACTCCTTCTATTCTCACAGTACATACTAATAAAATCTCCAAGTCACTCTTACTTTATTTTGCTGTATGCTTTCATTTTGAAGACAGGGTTCTCTTCTAATCCATCTTTAAATTCCTAAAAGACCTTCCACAACCCCTTGAACACAGCAGGCTCTTGCAAACCATTTTCTGGAATTAGTCTGAGTAAAGAAACAGAAGCAGGAAGCTGAGATTCACAGCCTTTTGGGGTCCCATTTGAGGACAAAGCGTGAGGGCCCAGGCATGTACTCTATACCATGTATGCTCTGAAGAAATAATCTCATCAACCAAGAAGAACTTGTGAATACAACTGCTTGAAGGTGGCTGTGAGATGAACTGAGTGTGATTGTGGTCAGGGATCCTGAATGAGGATTTCAGAAACCTAAAGGTTTGCTTTATCTGTAGTCCAAATGGTTTTCGGTGTACTTTTTTCTTTTCCCCTAAAGAGATTTTCTAGACAACTTTCATTAAATGGGATCTGTGAGGCTCCAAGTTAAGAACCTTGAGTTAGCTATTTAGAGACAAAGTTCTTACCCTATTGGCCTTTACAACTGAGAAAAGACATGGCTGTTCTTGCAAAGTACCAATTTGGGCAATGGGTATTTGGGGATTTGGGTGGAAAACCAGGAGAAGCTTCTCAAAGATTCCATGCTAAGTAACCACCAAAGAAGGGAGATAACAGGCAGAACTCCATGATCACTCCTGGGTGTGTAAACCCAAGGTTATTCATTATTACACATGTCCTGGGTCTGACACACAAACACTTGCCATTAGGCTCTATGGCAGGAAGGGCTGTTTTCTGCCATCATGTACTGCTGAAAAACACTACCTCCAGATTCAGACACAAAGGTTGTTCACCTAATGACCATGCAGAGAATTAAGTGACACTAAAACAAAAGGAAGACAAGGACTATTGTTGAAAAGCCCCTTAGCATTTCCTGTTGGCAGAGTGAGCAGGAGTGAGCAGCGTGATTTGGAAGGAACCCTAACATCAGAGCATGTTTTATTTGTGGAAGCCACAGTGGTAAATTAAAGCCCATGTTGGACTATTCTGGGCTTTCTGGTTTCTCTTGGAGCTGTTCCTATCACTGCCCATAGGCCACTAAAACCTGCCCACACTCAAAATGATTGATTCTTCTCAAACAGTAAGCTGCAAACTCATGTTGAAAACCTCACCTCAAATAAGTCATTAGCTTCCTTTATGGATTTTTTAGGTCATAAGGAATAGGGCCTATGAGTCCTATCTTTTGAAGAGTAGAAAGGAGTATTGGGGGGGATGAAAAAGAAGAATCTGGGTGTGCCCCTCTGTTTTCTGCCAATCAGTAGGAGGGATCTAGCAAAAATATCTGTTCCCCCAACCACCACCTCACACACACAACCTGATGGCCAGTGCTAGATATCAAAGGCAAGTGAAAAGGCCCTTAAGTTCCATTCTTTATAGGCTGGAAGTGAAAGAAAATGGAGAGGGCTCAGCAGAGGCCCTCTTCTTTCTCCTCTGACATTAGAGAATGTAGAGTGCCTCAGAGAGAGAAAGTTCAGGTCTGAAGAGTGTCTAAGACTTCTGAATGTCATGGGATAGCCCCATCCAGCTGAGCTGTGATGGAGACTATTGTGGGCAGGTGGCATAAAGCATCCCAGTGACTGTGGCTGTGGTGGTAGCAGCAGCCTACAGGCACCAACATGAGAAGCCTGAGTTCTGTAGCTTGGTAAGTTTCAGCTCACCACCTGACCCCCGTTTAGCAATTCTGATGTACCACGGAGCAGACAGCTCTGGCCTGGGATGACTGCCTCCCTCAGCCCCTCTCCGGCAGGCAATGAAAGCAAGATCTACTTTGAAAATTCTCCCCCATCATGCAAACTGACATAGGCATGCTTTTCAAAAACCCACAGCCAATCTGTTGATCATTACTTATTTACAAAGGCCTTCGGGCAGAAAGTCCTGTAAAAACCATACTTGATACGGTATACACTTGCTTTTTCTGCTTGTGGAAAAAAAAGTCCCCCCAAGGCTATCTCAAACCATCACTTTCTATTGCACATAAAATGTAGCGTGTAACACTAAAGTATTTAATATATATGGTATAATGTATCTACAGGAAAAGGCATTTGTATAGAAGTAAGTTACCCTGGATTTGGTAATTTGATGTTTTGCTGAAGGCTACGACTTAAAAAAGCCTCCACCTCGTACAGGAGACCTGTCATCTTGGTACCCAAGAGCCAACAGAATAAAGAAGTACCCTTAAGCAGCAAAACTTTGACACAGCTTTGAAGCATATGAAAACAGTATAACTCCTCAGAATTATTATTACTCAAGATCAAAGCAATGAGCCATACTTTACATAGCAAACAGGGACAGGGAATTTGGATCCAAAGGTTTCAGATTTTTCAGACTTCTCTTTATTTATTTATTTGCTTCTCTAAATTTAGGCAAAAGAAAGCATCTGGGCTTTTCTCTCCTTTAATGGAGAAAACTATTAGCATTAGATAGGCTGATTACCTACAGGTGAGTAAATAGGAAACTAATGCTAGCATGACAACTGTCGTAATAAAAATGAGCAGCTTGGCAGTTGGTGCATTTTATTTTATTCCTCCTCGTAAACTGTAAACAAGCATGTAAATCAGCAGTGTCCCAGCCATGCTGAGTAAGGGGAAGGCAGAGAACTCTTAGGGAGACATTAAACAGGAGTAATAAGACGGTCATAATGGCAAAGGACATAGGGCTGGGATCTGCCACCAAGAACACTTGTCCCCCACTGCTGAAGAAGAATAGCCTTCACCTATGTCCCAAAAAAGGTGGACATGGAGGGCTCGGGAGATGCAAATGCCTTGGAGAACTGGGGAATGGAGACCACCATTATTGCATTTCGATAATCAAACGGAGGGGAGGGCGCAATGGCAATGAAAATAACGTCAAGGTGGCAGGTATTTGTTGGTAGGGACCACTGAGGGAGAGTAGTGCAAATCTGAAATCACTCCTATTTCACTGCGGTTAAAGGGTTAGGAGGTCAGAAGAAATAAATCTGGGATTAGTAGATGAATCAAAGACACAAAGAGGAGATGAGAGAGGAATAGGTGGAGATAGGTACTTGCAGAACTCTATTGAAATTTGGTTTCACTTGTTATTTCTTAAGAGGAAGTCACAGTCCAGAAAAAAGGGAGAAAAGAAGGAAAAAGGAAGGGAGAAGGGGTGGAGGGATGGAAGGAAGAACAACGAAGAAAGGGGGGAAGGAAGGGAGGAAGGAAGGAAGGAGTAAACACGCTATATTTCATAATTCATATTGCTTTTAGCCTGAGCAGAACTGACTACTTTTGAACTTTGCTTTGGCAAGTCCACAGAATATTAGACTTTTTTTATCAGTCAAAATCAATTAACAGAAATTTGATTTCAATCGACAGGATAAAAGAAAGGTAATCTTCAGGTTCGTTTTTGATTGTGATGATACATCTCACATATGGCCTTAAGTACAGAAAACAGTCCTCAGAGGGACTCCAGCAGAAAGAGACTTGCCGCAGGCAAACTAACCACAGCGTTCCTCTGATTGGTTCCCAGCGTCATTAGTGCCACTGCTGTTTAGGAACTACACACAGACAGGACATGGTGACAGCTAAGACTTTAAAGCCTATGTATTTTTCAAACAGCTTTTCAAACTGTTTTTCATGACAGAATTTTTTCAGCTCTATCATTAACTGCTGACAAGCTGACAGAATAAATACTCCAGCCTTTAAGAAGCCATCTAACGATCTCACTCCCCTCCCCCGGGCTTGCTCAGGGTGGGGGTTGCTGGGGCCTGGGCAGGCTGGGAGGGGGCCAGGCCAGGAAAGAGGGAGATGTAGAGGGGAAGTTGTGGAGGGCCTTGCTTACCTCATCAGCTTCGGGGAGGAGTTGGGTGAGTTCCTCATGCCCCCGTTGCGTTGTTTTTTTTTTGGTGACAGCGTTGACGGCTGCTCATCTTCAACTAGAAATACAGGCAGCTCATGAGATTATGAACAGTTTGAGGGCAGACTGTGAAATACAGGCAAGATATCAAAGGACACACACTCAAGGCTCAGTCACTCACTAGGAATTCAGGACTGTCCTTTAAGGCCCAATGACAAAGACCAAATGCGTTAGTCAAAGAGGCCAGCTTAAGAAGGTTGAAGCAACAGATCTTTAGGCTCCAGCCTGAGAGCATGCACTTTAAATAGACTAAAACAGCTTACAAATGCCCTGCACTAAGGAAAAAAAAAAAGTCAGGATTTATCTGCATACAAAAATACATGTAAACAACAATCGTTACCCGTAGAATTAATTTTGGTAACTTTGCTTTGCTGGGTAATTGAATGAATTTCCTCGCAACCAAAATCAGAAATAAAGTTGTATTTCCAATAGAGGCTTAACTGCCAGCCTGCTGCTTCTCCAGATGAACCAACTTAACTGGTTCCTAATCCCCGCATGCCACAGAGTGAGCCTTGAAGGGAGGCGAGGATTCAAGGCCTTAACTGTCAATGTTTCAATCAGTCAGGACTGGGAACATTGGTGCATATGGGCTCAAGAATCCCCAGCCCAACTCAGCTTTCATCCCTCTATCTGCCAAGAGGGAGGGCACTTGGGGCCGTGCAAATGGGGTCTAACTTGTTAAGACAGGAAGACTGAGGCTGGAGAGCCGGCTGAAGAGCACTGTGATGGAGGAGAAGGCTGGCACTGAATGATCCCTCTCGATGATGTGGTGGTGGGGAGGAATGGAGAGCAGCAGAGGGGATTGGAAACCAAAGGTTGTTTTCCAAATGTCTAAACCACAGATAGCTAAGCAATGTGAAGTTTCACTCGCAAACACAGCACGCTCTATTGCTCTTGCCCAAAGACACCCACTAATAAGCTTTGTAGATGGCACCATCCATGCTTCTTTTTTTTTTTTTAAGAGAGCTGCTGGATAATTAGCAGATGCATACCAGCCTGTCACCCAAGGGCATCAGCAGCAAAATTCTAGTCCTGTTCTCCCAACCCCCCACAATCCAGGCTAAAGCTGTAATGTCAAGAAGGAAAAATAGGATCCTCAGATTCTTATAGTTGACTGCCACACAGACTAGGAGGAAGCACCCCTGAAACTCAGAATACACGTAGATCACCATAATAAGAAGAGAAATATTAGCAGTGACAACGTCAAAAGAGCTTGATATATGTTAATAGTGTATGAGTCTTAGATGGGGGACAAAATACCATCTCAGCTACTTGGTATTATCCAGGAAGACCCACACCAGAGCGTGCATTACATGGTACTTCCCTGGACACCCTAAATAAATTTAATAGCTTATGAGACATTGTTTTGAAGGGATTATAATAATCCAACAACCCACCAAGCTTGCTTCAGACTATCACACTTTTTCATATACCCTTATTCTACTGTCCAACTGGGGTTGCCTCAATCTGGCTGACACAGGGAAAGGAAACAAGAATGTGGTGGGAGGAGAAAGGGACACCAGAAGAAATAAAGATAAGAAAGTACCTGCAAATGCCCACAGCCCCTTTCCTCCACCACCTGCTCCCCCCCTTCCCCAGAGGTCCCAATCAAGCTGCAACCATATCAGTCACTTAGTGCTCCAGGCAGGGACGATGTGGCTGGGAGGATAGCACATCTTATCAGAAATGAGTATCCACAGAAAATCACACAGAGACTAAACAGCACTTAAAAGATTAAAGGATATAAATAAATACAAGCCACATAAATGGTATTGAAAAAAATCACTTAAAGTTGATATGCATCTCTCAGCAAGCAAACAGGCACTCTGAGCTTGACCTAAATTCATCTTCCTTTCACAAGATAGGCTGGGCATCAGAGGCAATAATGGGGTAGAAGTGGGAGCGTGCATGGGAGCATGCGTGCATGTGCGTGCATATGTGTGTGTGTGTGTGTGTGTGTGTACTTTTACACTTTCCTGTCTTAGGATGAAGTAGAAAGAATTATACTTACTCTACCTATGCACATATGAATAAAAAAAAAAAAAGAATGGAGTAGATGTGTAGACTGGAACTAATCCACAACTGACTTACAACTTACCTATAACAAAGGAAAAATAAATGTTTAATCTTATAAAAAAATAATAAAAAAATAAAATGGGCTACTTGTATTCATATTATGTTCAGTTGTATCTTGCTAGACTACACATATGTAATTGTGTGAGTCTAATGAGGGTGCAAGTTCTGTTCTTCTCTTCCACAAAAATCTTCTTAAGATTACAATGCAATATCTAAATAGGTCTTTTATCCAATCTAGTGTTACTTGTGACCACTTGGCATTACTAAGGTTGTGTCTGGGGAGAAGTCACCTTCACTGGCATCTCTGTTGGATTCATTTGCTTAAATTTTGCTTTCCCATTTGCACTGGGTCTACAATAGATCAGCCACTTTGGTTAAGTGCCCATTATCCTTAAGCCTTGTTGCTGGCTGTTTGCTGGCATGGATCTTCAGATGGGAGACCTACAAGTTAATATGCGTCAGCCGGCTCCAGGGAGACACCTCATTTTGTTAGTAAAGTTATGCTCCTTCTATGCGAAGGAAACTATTTATTTTCATTACAACTCAGAGAGATCATTCATCATAATCATACTGCATTTAAACTGGGGTTTGTTCTTGTCAATGAAACTGTTCAAAGCTTTCCTCCTGCACTCAGGGCCTGGAAGTCTGTTCCCTGAAGAGAAGAGGAAAATGTCTTCAGCTTAAATACATGAATGCTGCGTAATGGAGAACATTACATATGACTTAGGTCTCAGAAAAGAGGCAAGGATAACTTCTTTTTCATAAGTAGGATATCAGCCATATTTAATTATTACCCTTTATATGGATTCTACCAACTTCTGCATATTTAAAGAAAGCAGATCTAGGAAAACTTTTAGTTAAGCTATAAAATATAATTTTCATTTCATAGCTTCTGTGCCTACATGAGAGGAATAGAAATGGAATTAAAAGGAAGACTTAAATTTACTCAGTTTCATGAAAGACAAATGTGTTGAAGTAATGGACCACTGGCTCATGACAACGTACATTTACAGGATCATATTTAACCTACTTTGGGGCTAATTGCAGTGCACCTCTGTTTCTAGCATTTTTACCTCCTCTGTGCAGAGGGAGTCACATGAAGAAACCTGACTTACCAGCTTCTTTAACACACAAACAAGTTCAGGAATCTAATGCGGAATTTTTATAGGAGCTGAACTCCATGCAGTCTCCAAGTACTCATAAAATTCAAGGGCTTGTTTTTGCACATCCCTAAGTATAACACTTAATGTTCTGTTGTAACTTCCCTGCGCTCCCTTGTCTAATAGGCACTGAATCTAACAGTTTTACAGTTTGGGAAGACTCAACGCTAGAAAAATGTCAGGCAAGCCTAATGAGGCTTCAGATCCCCCGGTTTGCGCTGGAGTTTAATTTAAAGTTACAATGATGTTTTAACATGTTTGCTTATACTTGACTAAAGAGGATTCATTATTTCAATGACATAACCTCCAGACAATGTTCTGGGAATTGATTTAAGATGTGGTGGTAATTCCAACAGCCTTAATGCAGAGTTGAACATCTGTAACAACATTTCACTTGACTTTTCATCAGCATTCTGTTTTCAAGCAAGAGCAAGGCAATGAACGTCTTCCAGAAACATTGGCCAGAGTTCTAGGCTTACTTCAAAATGATCACATATTTTACTAGATTTTTTAAAAAAGAAATATCTTCCTTTGTCTGCCTCGCCAAGTTACAAACACTGTGCCAGGGCTCAGCAATGCCTCTTTATGGGTCCTTGAAGTGGAATGGGACCACAATGGCAACTTTCAGCTTTCCCAAATGCCTGCATGGGACAGAGCACTCAGTCCTACCCCGGGCACATTCCCTCTACACTGTTTCCCCCATGAGATTAAGGGGAGGATGAAGCCCTTTGGGACTTAAAGGTGAGTTTGTTGGCTGGACTTAAAAAACAGTTCAAAGCAAATAAACTCAGAAAAGCAATAAAAGGCAAACAACCCATAAACATGAGTCAACCAGCTATCTCCATTACGTTATTAATCACCACATCTGGAGAAACCTACATCTGTACACACTTAGCAGATCATTAGTAATGTCATATCCACACTGGAATCACTCAAAGTAAGACCCATGCAAAGTGGTTTGAACACAAGGCATCTAGCTAACAGGGCTTCCGACTGAAGTCTGGAGCAAGCTGCTAGTTTGAGAGCGGGGTCATTTTAGTGATTATTTATTGGGTTTTATGGTTTTTCTGTTGGGCATTTTGCTGCCCAACAAGCTAAATGCATGCCGACATCCACAGTAGTACAGCTCGCTTCTTCACTGAGCTTAGCAGGTTAAAATGAAACACTGAGGGGTGCAGGCAATTATTAAACAGTGGCATGGGCCCAGCACTCCTTCACCTGGCTTGGTCACAAGCCGAGAATGGGGAGTGGCCTTCTTGGACTCAAATGGACCTTTGTGATAGCGTGATCTAGCTTCAGCCTTGACTGCCAAACAAAAGAAAATGGAAATTAATCTTTAGTGAAATTTTTCATTACAGAAGTTTCAACCCAGTTTTAACATTGAAGAAAATCACTGCTTTGGATTAAAATGGAGGTTTCTCCCTCACAGCTGAATTTCAGGGTTTTCTTTTTTTAATCCTGATGATTTCCTGAAATACTTTTGTGCTGTGTCATTACCATTGATATCAGGAGGCATAATATCTGTGAAAACTGAGAAGACACTCTGCTTCATGTTAAAAATTTCCCAAAATAAGCAGTTTTTCTTCTCCCCCACAATATACACAGACACAGAAAACTCAAGTTTAGCAGCAAGATCAGACCTATGATTTTCTGAAAACTGCTCAAAGGAATTCTACTGAATAGTTATTATCTTTCAAGTTGTTATCCCTCAGTGTTAAACTATTGCTTTTCATCTCAGACAACTGGCCTGGTCGGCCCCCTTTGTTGTGATATTCCTGCTTAGCTTTCATTAAATACCATGAGTTTGCCACTCCTCAAAGAGTAGAGTTGGGGGTGTGGCTCAGCAGTAGACCACTTGTTTAGCATGGTATGAAGCTCTGGGTTCCATTCCTAGAACCCAGCAGAGAAAAATAAAAAAGGAAAGAGTGATGTATAGTGTCTCGTTGCATCATCATTGACATTGGTAGAAAGGTGAGGGGTTCAGGCTATGAATGTTGTTTTACTAAAAGTGAGGAGGGAGCAAGGGTATAACTGCTGGAAGAGCTAACTGTGCTTCCTGTCTTCTGTGACTTTGTTGAGCTCTTCTCCAAGAAAAAACATGGAAGTCATAGTAACATGGTCATTTTGCAATATGTAACTCACCATAGACAAAGTTCCCTGACTGACCTAACTTCTCACTAACAAGACTGTATAACTTCCAGCAAAATGTCAAGGCTAGTTGACGCTCAAGGTTTCACAATGAGGCCACAAGAGGCTGGTCCTTGGGACATGGAATGGTGCCCACTTTCTTTAGAGGGATGTTACCTGGGCTGTAATTATAGACTATCAGGACCTAGGCTGCCTGAACTGGTGAGAGGGTAAGGATTTTTCCTTAAGCATTTATGGAAAAAACAGTAATAACAAATACCAGGTAAATAACACCTTCTGTGAGTTGGGTGCCATAATTGTCCTAAAGGAACTTGTGACTATGTTTTCAGAATAAATCCCTTAATTGGAAATGCCATGTGCCCATCAGTGATGTTGAGCTGCTAAGCATGGCCAGGATAAGGCAAGCAGAGTCGAGTTCTATTCTGAGAGGGGCAGTGGGTAACTCAGTATCAGAGAACAGGGAACTTAAAGCGGGTGATATATTTGCAATGAGAGTTTCCGATCTGACAATCTTGGGAAATTATATGTTAGGAAGAACATTTGGCAAATATCCTTAACAAATTCAATCTACAAATGCATTTTTGAAAGATCATGGCAAATAGTGATGCCCAGGTAATGAAAGATGAATGCTGCCCCTCAAATGGAACCACAACAATCATAGCATCTCAAACATAGAAGACTCTCCAAAATTATACAGTTGCATCTTCATATACATTATCTGGTAAGATAATTTCAAAACCCATACCTAAAAATAGGAAACATATTTATCTGGAAAATCCAGAGGGTGCAGATTTTAAAAAGAATCTGTCATTATATAAAATGAGAATGGAAAAAGACTTGAAATGGCCCTTCTTGAGTTATCAGGGGCACAGGGAGCACCCGCCCCATGGTGTGCTGATGGGGCAGGGAAGGGGGGCTTGTTGCTGCTTTTCCATCTCTGGCTTTTGTGGAGCTAATAGGAGAATGGGAAGGGAGACTTTAAGGAACAATAGGTTATGAAGAAGTTAATCACAGGGTATGTTTCTGGCTCTATTCACTGCTTAGGAAACCTGAATTGTGTAAGTTTCAGTCCATCAACACAGAGTATTGAAAGAATTCAGCTCCTACATGGGAGAGAAAGAAAAATACTATATAAATATATTAACAGAATCCAGCCTGGGGTGCAATGTTCTCGACATAAATATGGTGTGCCTAATGCGTCCTCTGGAAGAAAAGCAGACAAATTGGAAGAACCTATAGTACTCACCCCAATCTTGAACTACAGCCTTATGCTTCATACAGATCCTGGTAAGAGTCCAGCAACCATCAAAGGGCCCTGTGAGTGGAATCTCAGCTCGTACATCTTCACTAAAAACTGGACCTGCTATGATCACTTGCCCAACATGCTGTCCTGCTTAGTATTCTGTAGATAATTCCTTTTGGAGAGCTGGTTTCCTTGACCCTTTTCTTTCTTTCTTTTTACCCTTTGGAACAGACTATCTCTATTCCCTCACGGGCAAAGAAAAGTCTCAAGCAAAGATCACTAGGTATTAGCTTACTGGGGAGGAGATGCAGATGGAACTCTAAGAGCAAAGACACAATTTAAATGAGAAATGCAAGAATGTCTCCAGAGTTTGGAGACTGGGAAGACAGTAGGAGATGAAGCTAATTTTCACTTACTTGAGTGTGGCATGCACAGAATCCAATAAAAATTGCCTATCCAATCTTTCTTTCCCTCCCTCCTTGTTTCTCATTCCCTACACTAACCAGCTGATAAAAGCTCTCAGGAGGAAGTGGACTTGATCCTACTTTCAGCCCCAGTATGTGCAGTACATGTTTATGGGAGACAGTGAAGTAGGGATGAAACCTATCACATCCTTGGTACTAACAGCCACCTTCTTCTTGCCTTTCTTATGGTCAGAGGACAATAAACTGTAACCTAGCAGGTTTCTGTACAGCTCACAATCTGCATTACATTTTTAAATAGTTGGGAGTTGAGAATCTAAGAAGGATAATATTTTCTAACACATTAAAATGATATGAGAGCCAGGCATGGTGGTGCATGCCTGTAATCCCAGCACTGGGAAGCTAAAACAAGTGAATCGGGAGTTAGAGGTTAGCCTGGGTTAAATAGTGAGACTCTGTCTCAAGCAAACAAATAAAAAAGAAATTCAAATTTCAATGGCTATGAATAAAGCGGTATCTGACCACATCCACAATCAATTGCTTATGTATTGTCCATAGCTGTTCTCGCTCTATGACAACAGGGAGAAGCTGCCACAAAACCTCTCAGATTAACTGCCTGGCCCTTGACCGAGAAACAGTGCTGACCCCTTCAATAGTGTCTCTGCATGTTTCCCTAGCTTTCCAGTTTTCCAAAAGAACAGCGTCCTTCCCCACCTGCCAGGGCAGGCAAACACTAAAAGAGATGCAGAGTCCACTTGAAGTGCAGAGATCTGTGGAAGTGAGAACCAACAGAAGTGATTGAGTGATGCTAATGTCCCTACCACCCAACCTGCTTTGAACCCTTCCTGTCCCCTTGTTTTTGAGGACTTGCGTCAGGTGAGTTTCACATTTTCCAACTTCAGCTAAGTGAGATCCATCCACCCGGTACTTTGAAAGTCAACATGAACCACATCTACTGTGAGCAATTTCTCGAAGCTGTCAGTGTGTGCTGCCGGTCCACCCTGTGAGAGCCCCGTACAAGACAACAGATTAACCATTAGACTAGATATGCTGAAAATATACAGCTTCAACCTTTCCCCGGCTAGCTCAGAGCGATATATAGATGATTATTTCAACCGTCAGCTGCCGCACAGACTTAAACCCCTGCACAATAACTCCTGGATTCATCTGCCCCTTGTCAAACTAGCACGGCTTTAGTTGGAGGATACGTGGTGTGGCAGTTTCACTGTGAATCCAGAATGATCCAGACGGCTGCTGTCTCTTTGTTAACAGGAAGCCAAACTGATGAGTTTGTAATGCATTTCTTATCAAAGGTAGTTTCAGAAAAGAAAATGTGCCCATCAGTTGGGCTAGAATTTCATATAGACTAGATTATAAGCTTAATCAGAACATCTCTGTTATTTTCTTGAGGAAGCAGACAATTCTGCATCCATCCCATTAAAATCATTTTATGCCAATGAATTATATATTTATCAGTTTATAATAACCTTTGATTTCTCCCTCCTGCAGTATACTTAATAAAAGCATCGGCTGGAGCATACAAAGCAATGCTACTTAATGGATACAAGCATGCTAATAATTTTTTTAACTTAATGTTGATCTTTTTGAGTCTTGTGCCTAACACAATCATTGATAATAAAGAGATTGCAATTTTTAACCAACGTCTTTAACAAAGACAAAATGAACTGTAATGAGATATGTGGAGACCTGGAAAAGAATTTTTTTGAATACAGTTTAGTATTACATAGATTCTTGGGAAAAATCAGGTTCCTCTGATAGGTATCAAGAGTAAATAACCTATAAGATGCAAACATTGGTCCTGGTATACTGGGAGGGCTCCTATCAAGCTCCACGGCTGCTAGTTTTCACCCCTACTGAACTCAGTGTTTAAATACTATTAAAGATTCTATTTACTCTGTCGCCATTTAGAATTATGACATTTTCTTCATCATGGATGTTTTCCCATTTTGATATTTTAAAGATATTACATGAGACTCTTAGGTATCTTTACTCCTGAGGCTTGAGGTATCCTCTTAAATTTGATACCCAAAGTGAGTGTCTCTGTGCCTTGCCCTAGATACATCATAGCACTGTCCATATCCCAGAGGCATCTGGGGTTCTGGTTTTACAACCCCACAGAACTGGACAAGGTGAATATGAAACACAAATTATTTGTCTGGATTGCTTCATGCTGTTTGCATGAGATTGTTAAGGACAGCCCTTGCAACAAATGCTTCCTCCTGGATTTACAAATTGTCAGATATCCAAAGGAGTGGAGAAAAGATCTTGCTGTCTCGGAAATCTGAGATTTGCCACCTGCCCAGGGTGAGAAACAGAAAAGAGAGATGAGGTCAGGTCTCTCATAGACTTTATATCAAGTCCATATCAAATTCTTCTGGTTAACACAATACTGGTTTAATTTTCACTTTGGGTGAAAGTTTTTATTTGCTTACATATTTTTAGTCTTACCTTTTTTCTCTGTTTTTTTTTTG